AACTCCATCGTGCACAACGTCTGTGCAGCCAGAGTGGCAGCCGGCATTCTGAAATGTTGCGATATCATCTTGCAAAAGGAAGATCTAGAACAGATCTCATTATTGGAATACGCATAATTTAAAGTGATAATACTTGATTTGCTTAAACGGCAGTTTTCTTTCAATCCAAGCTAAACATTACAGTTTTGTTTCCTGACAGTTATCGATCGTTATGGTTTCACTGAGTTTTAGAGAGCCATGAGGTACAGAAGCTTTTCGTTTTGGACGCAAATGTCTGTCTCGTGTTTGGTTTTCAGAAACGTCAGTTGAGAAATCGACGTTCGCTTTGCCGAAGCAGAACACGTGTCGGAAGAATCTCATGTATCCTCGACGAAACTGCCGAGTAAGAGAGCCGTACACGATTGGGTTTATACATGAGTGTAAGAACAGTAAAGCTTCCGCACAGGTCCAAAATGCGTCTGACAGTTCCTGGTACGAGTCACCGCCAAAGTCAATCAGCAACCAGGCGATTTGATTTGGAAGCATGCAGACCATGAACAAAATTACGATAACAGCCAGAGTTCGGATTATCTGGACATTTTCGCTTCTTGTTTTGTGCCTGATAACCTCTCCCCTTGAGTTGATTGTGGTTAGCATCGGCAACCGAGACCTGATGAGAAAAATAACGATTCTATGGTAGGCTATGACGATTACAAACAAAGGGATGCCATATTGAAGAGCGAAGAGAACTGCAGTGTAGGCCTGACGGAAGTAATTTTTCAGCCAATTCTCGGCACAGAACACACCTTCCGGCCGCGCCACAATCATTAACGGAACAAAAATAGAGAAGGCGAAGATCCATATAAGAATAATCCAAGTTAATGTGGCTTGCAGCTTGATTCTTGGTTGCAAAGGATTTGTAATCCCTCGACACCGTTCGATTGACATGGAAGATAAAGTGAAAATACTGACAGACAGAGTGAGTGACATCAGTGGCCAAATTAGTTTGCAGTAGAATAAATTCTTGTTAAACGGCAGAAAAAGCTCGTACGTATAGGAAGGAACCGAAAGCCACAAGAAAGTTAAGTCTGCTACTGCCAAGTTTAAAATGAAATAATCATTTATGGTTCGTTTTCGGCGCTTTCCTTTTAAAACTGCAATGACCATAGCATTTCCTAGAGTGCCGAGAAGGAACAAGCAGCAGTAGAAAACGACCTTAGAGTTTCTCTCAGCTGTGCTTAAATTTGGCGTTCCTTCTTTAGTTTCATTAAAGCTTGAAGAGTTGTCGATCGATTCGCCCACCTCGGGAGAATACTGTTCCAAGAACGAAGTGCGAGACATTTT